CAGCTGGACCACTGTTTCAGATACATTGAAATTCACTTTGTCTGAGTTTCTTTTGTACTCAAATAGAACCACCAATTATATTGGCATGCTGACTTTAAGGTTTCTGTGCACAAACCAGGTAGAAATGTTGAATTGCTAGGAAAAGACCAAGAATCTCATTTTGGAGAATTAGGACTAGCTACCTTTATGTTGGGGAGCTATCAGAAGAGTGACAGTGCTTTGAAGTTTAAGAATAGAAGAGTTCTCAATGTTGAGAGTGAGAAAAGAAAAGGAAACAGGCAGAATCCTGGAAAATAACTTCTAAAAATTAGAAAGGAAAAGAGGAACTCACAGTGGAGACTGAGAATCGTTGGTCTATGAAGCAGAGGGATAACCAGGAAAGAGCACTGCAATGAAAGCAAAGGAAGTAGAGAGTTTTGGGAGGGAGAACGTAACTAATAATATAAAAATGCAACAAAAGGTTCCAATAAGAGAATGACTTTTTTTTCTTTCTTCTTCTTCTTTTTTTTTTTTTTTAATTCTGTGGGCAGAGAAACTTAAGCGGCCAATGACAACTTTAATGAAAGCAATTTTGATAAAGTGGTACAGACGAAAGCCAAATTATAATGGCATTAGAAGGTACATTGGGAAAAAAAGTGAATGGGTGATGAAAAAATTATTCCTCTAAGAAGTTTGAATTGGAAAGGAAGAAGAAAAAGGAGAGGGTGTTAGCTGTGATTTTCTCAGAAAACCTCATCTTGTGGGATCAGGGGAAAGAGAATAAAAATAAGTAAGGAAGTAAATATCTGTGTGTGTGTTTGTGTGTGTGTGAAAGAGAGAGAGAGAGAGAAAGAGAGAGAGAGAGAGAGCAAGTGATAGAGTTCATGATGAATGGGTTTGATTTTATCATCAAAGAAGGAGGTATGACAACCTACTAAGAGTCATAAAAATAAGAAATTGAGGTGAGGGAAACAGAAGAAGAACTGAAAATTTCAGATTACCTCTGAGAGGAGATGGCTAGAAACAAAAGTACAGACAGGTGGAACTGAAAATCTTCATGAGATCAGAAATGAAAAAAAAATCAATCTGAATAAGGGTGACAATGAGAATGGATACGCAAAGATAAGTGAGTGAAGATTGTTAGAAATAGGGAAGTGAAGAATAAAACTGTGTTTTCGGTGGATGCTTCACACAAATGTTGATGTTCCTCAGGCAATGATAGGAGGTGAAATAAGGGGAGAGCCCAGGAGCCAGTTGCTGGAGGCCTTTATGAAGTAACCAGAAAACAGAAAAAGGAAAGGAAGTGGGGACTATATGGGAATGAGTAGAGTGCCATGCACCTAAGAGCAAAAGGAATTTCAGAGGAACAGAAAAAACTATGTGTTTGAGTTTGCAGTGCTCAGCCTAGAGAATACTAGTTGGTGTTTCCGGGGGCCCTGCAAGTCCCAAGGTGTGGGCCCAGTGAACAGGTTGGGGGAGCTGGTAAAAGGTGATATTCACTAGAAGGAGGAGACATAGTGGGAGAGTGGTTAGGTGATGGGGATGGCAGGGGACCCTTCTGCATATTTTGGATAGAGAACCATGTTTTACAGTAATGTCAGGAAGCTTTAGGTTTAACCAAACCCAAATGTCCAAGTGGCACTCTGCTTTGGGGAGGGGAATTGTCTGAAGGTCCTTGTGGTATCTGTTTTCATTTTGAAGGTGGCTGCCTTATCAACTGTGGAGTGTGGTCAGGCTCCTCCTCTGCAGTGGGTTTGCTCTAACTGTGGGTCCCAGTCTCAAGGTGCACATCCAACCTTTATGTCTTGTTTTCTGCATGCCAATTTCTGATACTGACTCAGCATCCTTCAGACAGCAGACAGCTCAGGGTCTTTTTCTTATTTCTGGCTTCCTTCTTGAATAATTTCTATCAATCTACAATGAGATTATTTAAGTGACTAATAAACTACAGCACAGAGAATCACTTTCCCCTCACTTTTACTTTACTTAATTGGGAACTAAGCAGTAGTTAAAGTTTGTGTGTAATTTAGATACTGGGATGTGGCTGGAGAACCAGCTGTCAGAGACATGACAGAAGCCAGAGAGAATGCACTAAGGCTGGTAGGCAATGAAACATGGTGGACTGGAAACTCAGTAATGGCTAATTGCAATTATAGATGACAATCATAGGATGGTCAAGCAGTTGTATATTCTTTGCGGGGGATGTCAGCACTGAGAAACTTGAGCAATGGGGCAAAACAGCTTGATATGTCAGCCTTGAGGACAGCCTGTTTCCGAGACAATTTTTAGAAAAACCGTGACATAACTTTGATCACTCTGAGTCCTTTAGGGAGACAGGTAGGTGAGTATCCTTATCTACAGCATAGAGAGTATGAGAAAAGGTAGAGCCTGGCAGAAACTAAGCAGATTAATGCAGTTCATCCCCTTTTAATACAAAGTTCTGGTCAAGGCATGCTCCTTATGCATTTTACTGCATTTATGTATGGCATTTTACCTTCCCTTGAATATTGAGCTAATTTGAATGGCTAGTCTATCTGTTAGTAATTTCTGAAGCAAGACGCTAAGCTCTGAATTTGAAAATATATCGATTTTTTCCCATCCTAAGCTGATGAACAAGGTTCTAGTCATTTTTGTGAGAAGCTAAGACATGTACCTTCATTAGCTCTGATTAACTTTTGAAGTGGTTACCTGTGTTGCAGTAGACAGAGCATTCTGTATGCAAAGCATGTTTATTCTCGTTGGTTTAGAAAAAAATCTGGATAGTAGTCTTTGTCTCCAGCAAAATAAGTTTCCTCTATCAATTCAATTAATGACTCTTTCTAGCTTTTTAAAATTTATTCTCTACGTTATACTTGTTAACATATATCTGTATCTCTGGGAAGTATAGGAGTCTGAGCAACCACACATGGTTTGCCACCAGCATGACATAAATACTGTCAGCTGGAAGGGTAATTTATCGCTGGAGACAGGATTGGGTGAGGAATAAAATGGAGATGAGGAGACCCAGCTAATGAGTTTGGTGGTAGAGGAGGCGCCCCCTTGGAGGGTGCTCAAGAGAAATTAGTGGAACTGCTGGGTTGAGGGAGGAAGGAAGGATGATGTTCAAGACTCGTAGATGGCAGGCAAAGAAGCCAGTAACACACAGATAGCCCAAGTAGGCCATCCTGGGAGCAGGGAGGTTGGAGAAGTGCCTGAGGAGAAGAGAGAAAAAGCTGTCAAGTTACCAACTCCCAATTGTAATTGGAACCCAAGAACAGGAATGGAGAAAGGGTGGCTTTTCTTCCTTGGTACCCGAGCTAAGCCTATGCTCAGTCTCTGATTCTCTTGTCCCGCTTCTTTTCTTTTCTTCTCTTTCTTTTTCTTTTCATTTCTTTTATTCGCTTGTCTCTTCCCTTCTCTCTCTTTCTTCTAGCCTAGTGAAACATCTCCATGTTGAAGACTCACTTGATATCATCACTCACAAATCATCAATTTATCAATAAAGGAAATGATAGTTATTTTTTAAAAAGGAGAAAATTAAAGATAATGTAACTAATTTCTCAGGAAAACCAGGCAACAACTCAAAAAACATTATGTCTTCAGGAAAGCAGCAGAACTATTCCTCTGATCACATATGATGTCACCTCGTGGAGTTTGGATGATTTCTTGTGGCTGAGAGCTAGTTTTCCAAGGTATTTTGAGTCAGTAAAAAATCGTATTTTAAAAATTCTTTCTCCTAAGCATCTTTGGTTCTAAAGCAAGATCTTTTTTTTTTTCTTTCTGTTTATTCCTGTTTTGGTACTGTTCCAAAAGATAAACCATCTCTGGGGTAGCTCTTTCTCAGGTGGTCCTTGCCAGCGCATCCTACGCTTGGATGAAATAGATGGCATCAACAATTGGGAGGCAGAGCAAGCTAGAGGGGAAGGGTCATGCTGTCATAACATGAGCTTCTGGGGTGGTAGATTTCAGTGTCTGCCGCTTGTCTACCAGAATAGCAGCAACAAAGCATAATCTGTGAAGGAAATTTCCAACCTATGTTGTCAGGCTGTCTGCCCAGCTGACGCTTGACAGGAACATTCCTATCTCTGGAATGGCAGACTATGGCCACTGTGGTGAGCATCTAGTAAGTCTAAGGGGCCATTGAGCTCTGATTGAGTTACTCCTTAAAATAACACTTCACTGAGAATGGCAAGACTCCGTTTGCTTATGGCAAAGTTTTAAGTTTCACTGATGCTAAGAAGCTAAAGGTCTTTGACTATACATGAATTTATAAAGAGACCAAATGTTTGTTTCCCTTTTTATAAGCCACAAGACATGTGTTTTTAATAGACTTTTAATTCTGTGCATCAATGCAAATATAATATTGCATAGTGCTTTCAAGGTCACCAATAACGATACTTGGTATCATAAAGTAATAGGAGTAGGGTAGAGTTTTTATGGATTAATAGACTAGAAAGAGAGATGTCTATACAATTGCCATTCTTTGCAGTAGCTTTATTAGGTCCTTCCCTGCTTATAACTGATCTCATTTTATCCTTTTACTTTATATTTTCTATCCTCTATTTCCCGTTTTCTTTTAAAAAATAATGATTGAATTGGGCATATGCTGAAAAAGAGATTGAACTGGACTTCAAGGATCATGCAGTGTGATGGAAAGAACAAGAAACAGAGTTGAAATGCCGCCTTCACTGTGGCCTGAGGATAATTATCAAGGCAACAAATTTGTAGTACCATGAGATTTATCTTGAAGAAGTAATCTGGGTGTAGGGTGGGGAATTGAGTATGATGTCAAATGTGGAGTATTCATACAGGCATTATATAGTGTTTTAAAAAGTCAGTATACTATTTATTTGGGATAAGTATTCCAAATGTGTATCAGGGCCTTTTCTTCGGTGTTTCATAACAGGCTGGTCTCTGCCTCATGTTCTACCAAAAGGTAATGCTGGCTAAAAGTGCCATTAGAGTTTGATTCGGTCTGGCTCTGCCATTCTCTAAGTACCAATTCCTTGCTGTGACATTTTCTCATCTTGCATGCTCTCTAGGGCATACATGAGTGTGAAGGAGCTGAAGGAGGCCCTGCAGCTGAACAGTACTCACTTCCTCAACATCTACTTTGCCAGCTCAGTGCGGGAAGAACTTGCAGGTGCTGCCACCTGGCCTTGGGACAAGGACGCTGTCACTCACCTGGGTAAGTGAAATGAAGGCCACACATGGTAAGAAAAAACAAAGAGGCCTGAAGGAAGCTTGTAAAAGTAAGTTTGGAGAGAAAAGAAAGAGAAAGTAAATTTAATCAGTGAATTAACTGCTTTGCACTGAGAATGGCTGTTGGTAGAACCTGTCAAAATGTTTCAATATAAATAAATAAGAGGGATTAAAGCAGACTGGCAAATGCCCAGGATGTTCTAGACTGAATCTATAATTTAGATGCAAATAAATTGCTGGCATAGACTAAGATTCATTTTAAGTCTTGAAGAGCCCCAAGCGGGGAACTATCAAAATATCAAGAAGGTGGCTGGCCTGTGAAACCTGCTTTATAGTGATGACTCTTCTGGAAAACTGGCGGGCTTCTTATATGTTGTGAGATCCTGAGAAAATCCTGGGAAATTCAGGAGATGGGGCTTACCTGCTCTCACCAGGGTAAAGGGTGGATACCTTAACCCCAAGTGCAACTGCTGAACACTTAAGTAAGACAATCCCTTTACAATGTCTTATTATTATAAAGGGAAATCCTATCGACCAAACAACAAGAGTGATTACATTTGTTTTATACACATATGGATAAAAAGTAATTATTGAACAGGTACTGCAAAGTTGATCTTCCTAGTAATCAAATAAGAAGCAGAGAGGAATAAATTAAAGAAATAGAACATAATGCTGTGTATGTCGAACACCTGGTAATAGTGAGGTCTAGAATTTACCGAATTGACAATAAAAGAAAATATGAGCAAGCATCCAAAAGATAACCAGTGTTACAGATTGGGGAAGGAGGAAGATGAGTAATGTGTTAGCGAAAGACCAACAAACAAACAAACACAAGGTTGCTGTTCAAGTATGAATGAGAACATGAAAGTTCACGGAGTGAATCAGGTTGAGATCCAAAAGGGGTATCTATACCAGAAAATGGAGATATATGCAGATGTATGTATACACATATATGTCTAACAAATTAAACATGTAAGGATCCAAATTCCAAATTACATGCTCTGCTAGCATGCATAGCGGGGTTTCATTGGCTCTATAGTATCTGATTCAGTTTTAGAGTCCCACAATCCTTTTATCTCTAAACTGTATTTCTAGTTCTTGGTACATAAGAAATCAGAAATTTGTGATGTTAGTGGTAGCCTGGGGCTACCAAGGCAAGAGCATTGCGTGTGTTGATAATGTATTGCCCGGTTCCTCAAGTAAGGCCCTGATATTTCCAGGCATCCAGTATAAACCAAAGAAGGCATTCAGATTTATCTACAATTACCACAAGAGAAAAACTAGGGAAAGAGAGGTTTCTGAATGGGATGAGACATTTTGCTGGGCCTATCAGAAAACAAATTTTTAAGTCATAGACTGCAAGACTGCACTTCATGGCTGTTGGTTTCAGGAAGAGTTCTGAAGGATTTTTGATATAGTGACAGAAAGGGGCTGTAGATTCTAGCCATACATTTCCAGGATGGTCAGGTTATCTGGAGACACCCCTGTGCTTTCCAGATGAAAGCTAATTGGTTCATTCTAACCTTCCTGGTAGCAATGGTTGGACTAGAAAGTCATATTCCTGTAATCCATTTATTAGTGAATATGGGTGTTTTGAGCTATGCTCATCAAAAGCAACAATAGCAGAGGTGGGTATGTAACACTGTAAGAAAATATCTTCAACCTGGTGTGTACTCGAATCACAATAATAACCTTTCTGGTGTATGTCTGCAGAGGTCCGGACAGCAAGGTTTACTCAACAGTGGCTTTAGTGAGGCCCAAGTCTCTCAATAGGAACTGAATCTATTTGGTTAAAAGACCTTAAAAAATTATCTCCTTATAGAGAAAAATCTTGTCTTCTTGATAAGAATTATTGGACAGGGACATACCATTGAATGTTTTCTAACTTTATTATAATTGGGCATTGGCAAGACTCATTCAACTATAAAAAATGAATAAAATACTTCAAAAATTATTTATTTGATGGCATCAAATTGGCTAAGGCAACAAGGACATGAGGAGTCCAATCCCAAAAAGAAGAAAAATGCATTGAAGTGGGTCTCATATATAACTCAGTCTTTTTCCTTTCAGGGAAATTGCCAGATTATCAGTGGAAGACGTAGAGACAGAGCAGAGAGCTTGCTTTGGTCTCACTACTGGGAAGACAAAAAATAGAGTTCAGGTTTTTAGGGCAACCAAGACTTGAGGGATCAGGATCCTAGAGAAATGGAAATCAGAAAAAGTGAGCCTGATTTTCTGCTTGTAATTTCTTTTAAGATATTTGTTAGTTACTAAACTTACACTCTCAGGGCCACTGGACAAGAAAACAAGTAGAAAATAACTTCTAAGAGATTAAAAAACCAAACAGTGATTTTAAGAGTGTCATAACAGAAGAGGCAAAATTGGGAGTTGAGGCCTTGTTAAGGAAGAGGGGCTCTGAGACTCCCTCTGTGCAAGGATAAACAAACAGCTTACCCAAAGCCTATGATCCAGCCTGAAACACACTTTTTAAAACATTTCAGTAGTGTTGGGGGGAACAGGTGGTGTTTGGTTACATGGATTAGTTTCTTAATGGTGACTTCTGAGACTTTGGTGCACCCATCACCCAAGCTGTGTACACTGTGCAAGTGTGTAGTCTTTTATCTCTTGCCCTGCTCGCACCCTTCATCCTGAGTCCCTAAAGTTCATTGTATCATTCTTACGTCTTTACATCCTAATAGTTCAGCTTCTAATTATACGTGATAACATACGATATTTGGTTTTCCTTTTTCTGAGTTACTTCACTTAGAAGAATGGTCTCCAACTCCAACCAGGTTGCTGCGAATGCCATTATTTTGTTCCTTTTTATGGCTGATCTCAACCAAATTCACTCCTTGGATTTTCATGTTCTTATTCACCCTTGAACAGCAACCTTTTTTGTTTGTTTGTTTGTTTGTCTATCACTGATAACGTTGCTCATGTTCCTCCTTCCCCAATCTACAACACTGGTTATCTTTTGGATGCTTGCACATTTTCTTTATCCACTCATTGATTGACGGACATTTGGGCTGGTTCCATCATTTTGCAATTGCAAATTGTGCTGCTGTAAACATGCATGTGTAAGTGTTTTTTTTTTGTTTTGTTTTGTTTTGTTTTTTTTAAACATAATGACTTCTTTTCCTTTGGGTAGATACCCAGCAATGGGATTGCTGGATCAAATAGTAGATCTACTTTTAGTTCTTAATAAATCTCCATACTCTTTTCCATAGTAATTGTACTATTTTACATTCCCACCTAAAGTGTGAAAGTGTTCCCTTTTCACCACATCCACATCAACATCTATTATTTTTTGATATTTTGATTATAGCCATTCTTGTAGGAGTAATGTGATATCTCATTGTGGTTTTGATATGCATCCCATCTATTTTTCTTTGTTTTTATTGCATTTGCTTTGGGGTACTTGGTTATGAACTCTTTGCCTAAGCCAATATCTAGAAGAGTTTTTCCAATGTTGTCTTCTAGAATATTTATGTTTCCTCCTGAAACACTGTAAATCCCTGTTTGGAGGAAGTTTATCTGCCTGTATTCTAACTACCTAGCAAAGAAAGTTAAATATTCCTTGGAGAAAGACATCATCAAAAGCCTCTACAATTGTTCATGCAGTGTCTAGGAATCAATAAAAAAATCAATTATTTCAGGAGACAGAGTCAAATGATGATAAACAAAACAAATCTCATACAGTCAAAAATTATCCAGGTATTGGCATTGTTGGACACTGGCTTTAATTATTATTAATATGTAAAAATAGATGAAAATGCGTAGTTTCTTCAGAGAATTGGAATCTCTACTAGCGAATCAAGTGGAAATTTTAGAACTAAAAGTAGATACCATTAAGCAAAATTAAGAAATTAATAGATGGGTGTATAAACAGAAGAAAAATTTAAGAACTAGACCATTGTAGAAAATTTACGAATTGAAGCTCTGAGGAAGAATGTGCTGGGAAAATATAGAATACATCTTAGGAAACATTTAAGACCCCATGAAAAATTTTTATTGTAAATTGGAGTTCTAGAAGAAGAAAACCAAATTGTGGGCAGAAACAATACTCAAAGAAGAAAACCAAATTGTGGGCTGAGAATTTTGCAAACCCACAAAAGGGATCTAGAACCACAGGTTCTAGGTATTTTATAAACTGCAAATAAGATGGATAGAAAGAAAATATTTGCTAAACACAAATCTGGCAGCTGACTGTATTTAGAAGATATACAGAGCTGCAGAACTCTCAAACCCAACAGCAAAACACACAAACAAAAATTTCAGTTAGATACTTTAAGTTCTGGAGTACATGCACAGAACATGCAGGTTTGTTACATAGTTACACATGTGCCATGATAGTTTGCTATTTCCATCACCCTGTCGTCTACATTAGGTATTTCTCCTAATGCTATCCCACCCTAGCTTCTCAGCCCCCAACAGGCCCTGGTGTGTGATGTTCCCCTCCCTGTATCCCTGTGTCCATGTGTTCTCATTTTTCAACTCCCACTATGAGTGAGAACATGAGGTGTTTGGTTTTCTGATCCTGTGTCAGTTTGCTAAGAATGATGGTTCCCAGCTTCATCTATATCCCTGCAAAGGACATGAACTCATACTTTTTTATGGCTGCTTAGTATTTCATGGTATATATATGCAACGTTTTCTTTATCTAGTCTATCATTGATGGACATTTGCATTGGTTCCAAGTCTTTGTTATTGTGAACAGTGCCACAATAAACATATGTGTGCATGTGTCTTTATTTCACAAACTAGTGGTTTCCAGGGTTTAAGAATGAGGAGGCAATGTATGGTTGGTGGTTGAGAAGAGTATAGATGTATGTGTGACCTAAAGGATAGCAGGTGGGACATGTTAATAGTGAGAAAACAGCTCTGTAACTTGATAGTGGTGGTGATTACACAAATGCATACATGTGATAAAATTGCATAGAGCTATGTACACACAAACCTGACTGCATGTAAAAACTGGCAAAATCT